TGTAGGTAAGAAACCTATCAGCAATTCTTGAAGGGCAATGGCAAGCGGCGGACGAATGGTGGAGATGGGAATGGATACCGCTCACGCAGTTATCTTCCGCAGTAAGTTTAAGAAAAATCATGTATATGTATATATGATTTAAAGGTTTCAAGCATGTATGTTTAAAAAGTATAGGTACATATGTATGTTAAAGAAACCGAGGTTGTAGCTAACAACCCTCGTTTTGAGTATTTAAGTTTTAGAACGTTGCAACAGAGCATGTAACAAATAAATAAATTTTAAACATGACGATTTAAATGATTGATTTTAAAAGGGCTTTAAGATGTACTTGAATTTAAGATTTCTCACGAAATCCGTTTTAAAGTCAAAATTAAATGGCCCGATTGAATTGGCTAGTTTTAGAAAGACTTTTAAAGAGCATTTGAAATAAGAGTTCAAATGCTGCTCTGTTTGAAAGATATTTTTAGAACGTTTTATCTTAACTGAAATTAAGAAAAGCTTTAAGAAATTTAGTGATTCACTTATTTGAAATTATTGTTACAAATTATGAAAGTATTCTTTCTTATATTAAAAAAAAAATGTTCCGCAAATTTTAAGAAACCCCAGTAAGTACAAGTTAAAGTTTAAGTTACAGTGGCGGCCTCATAGGAGGGTCGTCACAATATTCAAATCAGATTTTTACTAAAATGGACTGCCACAAATTTAGTCAATTTTCTTCTTATAAAATTACATATATACAAGAGTGAAATTGAAATATTTGGCAAAAATGGGTTATTACTATAACAAAATGATTTTAAAACTTACTACATATTTGAAAAAAAAAATTCATTTAACTACCACAAATTATGACGTAGGCTCCACCACTAGACCTTAGCCCAGCACCCTTCCTTTGTGCAATGGAAGTCACTGACCCAGGCCACGGCCTTCTTGATGGCCCATTTACCCGTCCAGATAAGTATGTTACCCGTTTAAGACTCATTTAGTTTGTTTAAGACTCGTTTAGTTTATTGATTCGAGTTTTTAATTTGAGTTGAGATATAACTTTATGTGAATTTTTCACTATAGCAAAACAATTAAATGCGAATGTTTTTTAGAACCTTTTAGGCTGAGAGCTTTTAACAGAAAAAATTAGATTAACAGAAAAAATTAGATGTGACATTTTCTGAGAACTTTTAACTGTAAAAACTTAAAACTCAGAAATTTATAGTGTTTAGTATGAGAATTTATGTCATGGTTCAAATCATGATTCGTGATTCCCTATAATATTTTCTCACAAAAAATACACATAAATTGAGAATAGTGTTATAAATCATGATTCTAAATCCATACACCAATCGTCCACTTAATCTTCCTACTTACCCCTATTCTATCCTCATTATCACTATCTCACAATTCACTTCCTTTCCGATGTGGGACAAGGACAACACAACCGCAAAAGTTTCAATCTCTTTCTGGGATTAAGTTAAAATCAAACCCAAGTTGTTGTAGCGTGAAGGAATTATTGCATAATTTTAGAGGATTTTGAGTTAAATCTTTTTTGGGTGAGAAATTAAAGAACTTTGTCATTGAACTTGTTACAAGATATGAAAAAATAGCCCGAAAATCCTCAAATGATGAAAAAATAAAAAAATGATATCACCAAAATCTCCAGGGATCCTTGTACGGAGGAACGTATTCCTCTGTTGGAGGGAGAAGACGAAAAGAAGCTACCGTTTTTTCGAGCACAGGCCCCATCTGCACGACACAATGTATAGACTCGTAAGCGGACAAAATATCAATGCAAAAGCATTGCAAAATAAATCTAATTTCAACTGTTTTTTGCTCAAAAAAATAAGCAGAGAGAGAGGAAGAGAGTTACCGTGCTCCACTGCTTGTTGAGGGTTGAAGCATTCAGAGTATACAAATAACCTGCAAAATGCAGTTTCTGTGAGGTTCCTTTATATTTTTAGCTTGAAACTTCAAGATCAGAATCAGTGTAATAAAGTTCAAGCAAGCATGTGTAGATTTTTGTAGATTCACATATTTGCACTCCAGGATATGAAAGGTCTACCATCTCGCTCAGCCGTTGAAGAAACATAATGTCGGAAAATGTTCGATTCTTGAGCCTGCATAGCATAATTGTAAGAATATCAGGAAATCCGAAGAGCATATGACAAATGAATATTTTTCTACTGAATTTACTACAAGAGGACAGACTTACGGTTTTTGTAGGCGACTTACGAACAAGGTACTCATAATACCAGTACGGCACGCCATCGATCTGAATAAGAAATTATGAGAGAGCCTCTTATAATCATATATACTACATAGATATACATAACCACATTTATTTTGTACTCAGCAAGTTGTGGTTCAAAGGCGTACTTCACTAGAATGTGTATCAAGAACTGAACTTTCACTCATTCGCTGACTTGAGGTGACTCGCTGCAAAAGAACCGTGCACATCAGTTTTAACTAGCAATCGCCTTTTACTGAAGCAACACATCTGTGATGGATTTCTATTCTCTATATCAACTTCGAGGTAGATTGTCGAATAGTAATGAACAAATTTTGGAATTGTATTTCTGAGCAATCACATGTGTTAGCCAAACAACGCCTTGACTTTGATGAAAAACACAAGCGGGAAATTACCAGAGCAGCCTTGTCAGACAAAACAGAATCGGCAACATCTTTTGTAGTCCATGTACTCTTGTCCTTGGATTTTATAAACCTTGAATTTGGGGGGCCTATCTGGATTAAACAAAGTGAAATCACAAGCTGCCAGATAAAACCACCGTAGGGAATCACCTTAGCAAGACATTGTTTCATCAGAAGTTACCGTTACTGAGATGATCAGGTTATCAATAATGTCAACACGCTCAGACACAATGCGCAGGCGTGCATCAGCTGCGTGATGTGCGAAACAGTACCCAATGAGTATCATGGACACAATGAGTGTATTCTTTAGCACTATCAAAAACTGATATTGTGATGGCACTCTGAGTACATTCAAGAAAATTTGAACATTTGATTTGAAAATGAACTTACGAGATAGCGGTGCAGCTGATGAATATCGTTCGGGCTTTCTGGATTCCACCCTTCAAAGGGAGGAAAAAAAAAGTCAGGGAGCCTATAATTTAAGATGGGGTGATAATAATTAAAAAAAAAAAAAGAAAGTAGTTTGATTTAAGCATAACTAGTTCAACAGAATCTTGGACTTCAGAAAATATGATCATCTTTTTACACCATTGATACGGTCTCAAATTAACATTACTATCTTGAATTAAAGTTGGGTTAAATTTATGAGCTTTACATGGGTATCAATGAAGGTATTTTTCAAACTTTGAGAATAATTTCCTATTGAAACTATTTACATTCTATGAGCTTTACACGGGTATCAATGAAGACGCATACCATTTGAAGAGGAACTTCTTGGATGGCAACTCTATCGGGTAGAGATAAGAATAAGCATTTATTTCATCAACCAAGGAAGCCATCTTCAAATCCCCCTCCGCAAACGACCCTGCAATTCAATTGCACTAACTATATAACAACTACTACTATAATTGATTGTCAATAATAGAGAATGTTCAGTTCCCAACTTTTTTCTCCTGAAAAAGAAACACCTCTCGCTATGCATTCTGAGTGTTAGTTAACCATTTTGTCCAAACACGTAAATATTTAATAAAAAACCTGAAACATATTTTAAAAAAATAAAAAAAAATAAAATAACTCAACATGTGACATGTTTAGAAAGAGCAATTATAGAGGCGTGAATTTGGGCTAAGATACCATGTTCAGTAACCATATCTCCTAAAAGGTTAAACAATAATTATAAAAAAATTTAACATAGAAAATCAATTGAGAAAAGAAAAACACCCATTTTTCCAGAGGCTGTTAAAAAAAAGTGTGGGTTAAGGTTACCTGAAGATGGGAAGAGTGATAAGAGAGAAGAGGAAAGGCCAAATAGAAGGAAATCCCGTCTCCAAAAGCCATGTTGTGAAGTGGGTTCCGAAGCAACACTTGAGCACGGCTGTGAATATGATGACGCGTCGTGTAAACCACAATTCTTGTGTTGCATCGTAATCCCACTCTGGTTTCTAAGCTCAGACGGAGAAGTAATATTTCAGACGTGGAATTTAGGAAACAAAATCTCGTGTTTTAGAGAGAGAGAGGAGTCGAAAGAAGAGGAAAATACCTGAAGAAGAGGAGATTTTGTGGAAGGAGATGAATGGGTGTGAAGAGAGAGAGGGAAGGAGAGAGAACAACCATTTTTTTTTTCCTTTTGCCCTTTCTCTACCTCATCCACTACACACTGTGATTTTTTTTTTTTTTTTCTCTTTCTAATTCTGGACTTGTATGGGGAGAGAAGACAAGGAGATGTATATAAGTTTGATTTCTCTGCGGATTGCATGAATCCTTTTTCGTGAATAGACCAACAGAATTCCGCCACGTTAGCATATAAAAGCAAAAATACTTTCCTTTCAGAATGGGTTCATATGCCCTTTTTCTTATCTTCCTCCTCTCCGTGTCTCTTTAATAATAACATATCACATTAGCATAATTTTTTAATTTATGTGATAAAATTTTTTTAATTAATGTATCACAATATTATCAGAGAGACACAAAAAAAACACAAGAATTGATTCCGTTTTCTGTTTTGGTTCTCCCCTTTCTTTGGTCGTTTTATTTTGCTTGAGATAGGATTTTTTTTTCTTTTTTTTTTTTTTAAGTTGAGTTAGTTGAAAAAAGAAAAAGAAAACACAGCACTATCTTTCATAAAACAAAAACAAGTCTTAATAAATCTTTAGAACCTTTTTAATTGTATATCGATTGGCTTCAAATATAATACAGAGATAAAATCATTTTAATATCCTGTTATAACAAAATATGCTCTTAATTTTTTGTATTTTTTAAAACATTTAAACAGCATCTCAATTCTCAACGTTTTTAAAAGCGTCTTCTTGATACCTTGAAGCTGAATTTTTAAACATGTAATGTCTAAATTACATTCTTTATTAATTAAATAAAAATAAATTCTTTTAAAAAATCTGAAAATATTTTATATCATTAAAATATTCAAAATAAAAAATTACCAATTTTTTGTAAATTTATTATTTTTTAATTAATTAAATAGAATGATATTAAAAACATTTACGTCTCAAAAATCAATTTAAAAATATCAAGATATTTTTAAAAATATCAAAACATCATTTTAATATTTTATAAACAAAAATACTAAAAAAAATATTTCATTATAATACAGAGTGCCAAAATAATTTTATCCCTGTAATTTAAGCAATCGTTTGGAAAATAATTAAGTATTTCAAGTAGAAATATAGTGCAAGAGGTCAACTTGGAAAGAAGAGAAAAGAAAAGGCATTGGCCACATTGGATAGCAGAAGCAGGCGCTTTATAATCTCAATAACGTTATTGCAACTTTTTCTACTACCAACAGTATCTCTACAATAAGTAATATGTTCCTTTCTAGAGCAGGGCCTACAAAGCTAAACACGGCATTAATACTTGATTTGTCATCGGTGCACGACTAGACATGTTTACAATGGGTACACGACTAGACATGTTTACAACGCAGAAAAATTTATAAAAAAAAAAAAAAAAAATCAAAATCCTCTACTTTTGGGAACATTTTGTTGCCATGACAAGCCCGGTTGACCAACCGCCCCACGGCCAGGTGCCCCATAAAATTGTCCTACATCAGGATGAGAGCCTACACTACTCGGCCGGAGGCCGGTCGCCTCAGCTGAAGGAACCCACCAAGTTCCCTGCTGCTGCTGCCGCCATACAGCCGGATTTTCTGAGCCCTTTGTTGCATTTATAATAGGAGGTTGCAATGGCAGCATTGCCTGATGTGCTTGCTGCTGAGACACTAAATGCGGATGGTTTACAAGCAGCATCTGTTGCTGAAAATTATGCGCTTGCTGCGAGGGTGCTTGCGGCTGCCATTCTGGAATATCGTCATCGTCCTCATTCCAGGGCCTAGCCACAGCCCCACTAAGTCCTTTGTCCTCCTTCCAGTTTCCTGGAATCGGGGAGACATTATTTTGCCCGTATTTATGAATAAGCTCTCTCACTTGCTCAACAGGACGAGAAGTTTGAGGTGCACAAAATGAAGCCACTCCCGAGCCCCTAGTGTGTTTTTGCGAAGAAAAATGAGACACTGGTGGATTTGATCCACCAGAAAAATTAAATTCAGGAAGGTCATCCTCATCCCGGGCAACAGGTGGGCCAAACCCAGGAGGAATATCATCCTCATCATCATCATGTGAAGGTCTAGAGTTCGCAGGAGCTAGGCCCCGAGGTGCGGCCGATTTAGGTGCAAAATTAGAATTCAAAGGTGATTCCTGTTGTCTCCTAGATGTGAAATGTTGCTTTTTTAAGGCGTGTTTGTGGTGAGATGATGATTTGGGAGATATTGAACTTAATTTTCTCCATACAATAACACCAATTAGACCATTATCAATTGCGTTTAGTGCTTCAATGTGCTCTTCGTGGACGATCTTGCCGAGCGTTTCAAGTGTCTTATTATGTGGGGGGCAAAAATAAAGTTCAACACCGGAAGCAGGCTCGGCAAAACCCACTCTCTCATCCAGAATATAGGATTCTGACACCTGCAGGCCAATACATTTTCTAAATATGAACAATGAATTTCCTTGCAAAAATAGGAAAACAAAAACTTGGATTTTATCATATTGATGTTACCTCTTGAAGAGCTGCGCGCTCGGTTTCAGAGGACTCCTTGAGAACGAAATGCACTACCTGCAGAAATTGAGGTTTCATCAGTCAAAATACGTAGTAAACCGACGGGAAAATCTCTACGTTTTTGGTTGTAGGTCTTAGTTTGTCCTCAAGACGACAACAATTGCTTATATTTTTACACCAACAACAATTTCGTCCAGAGTGAAACGCTTCAATTACATTCTCAAGGTTCTATTCATCTCCAGCATAGCAAGTATTATTCCAATTACCCATGCCATTTAAACGAATTTTGATGTAATATCTTACATGCTCTGGTTCAATTTGCCATAAATCTTATATGAACCAAGTTGAAAGAAAATGAATCAGCGAAAACGTTTTTCCTCGAGTATCTAGAGAGAGAGAGAGAGAGAGAATAAATGCCCAAGTGTTGATACGTGAAAATTAATACTGCGGTACTCATTATATAAGCCCCAAGTATAGCCAGATTCAATTAAAATGAATTTCAATCTCGGGAAACTGGAATCAGTTCAGACAACACTGTACGGACATGTGCTGTCCAAGGATGCAGCCAAAAGTTAGAACCCGAGTTTTTGGCTTTATCATCATCTTGTTTATGTTTATTGCCAAAGGCGACCAATTAGAGAAAAACCCATAATGGATCCCTTTTTCACCGACGGCGGACCACATAGAGTGAGGTATTAGCAAATCTGCGTTGCTGAATATCAAAACTGAGAAAAAAGGCTCTTTAATTCTAGAGGAAAGAAAGATATAACAGGATACAGGTTTTATTGTACAATAATGAAAAGAAACTTGCAATACCATGACAGCACGGCTACGGGATAGGGGAAGCTCTTGCAGGAACTTCTCGAATGCTTCGAGTCTGACTCTTCCCTTGATTTCAATAAAACCAGGCCACTCGTTGGCAGAGGTTTTCTCACCACTGCAACAACAAAATAAGATCAGTAAGTGAATATAACGATCTCTCTCTTTGGACTGAACTAAAATTATTTGAAAGTAAATATATCCCCTTAACAGAGCACTTCCAGGAGCAATCCTGTACGGAAAATCAATAAATTACAGTTCCCTTAAGTTTACTTCATTTATTAAATTCTCGTAATCAGAAGATAATTCACAATCTCTTGATATGTAACATTCTTGGTAAAAAAGAAAAAAGTATTCAAGAGCCAATGTTGCGGCTGCCGGTGCAGAATGCAGATAGGTGACTAGAAGATTCAACTTTCCACCTCTGAAGTAAGTTTCAAGAATTGCAAAAGAGTTTCAAGACCATCTATAACAACAATAATTTTAAATGTAATAACTATGCATATTTTTTAGGGATTGCAGTCGTAAATCAGAAGAAGTCTGCCTTTCTGAACATAAAGCCAAAAACAATCAATTTACAACAAGGAAATATTCATAAAAACATTATGACCTCAACATTAAATTAGAAAAGAAAATGTACCTTTTGAAGATGCAAACAAAATTGGCTGTGCTAGAGATATTCAATTGAAGTGAGCCTCCCCATACATGTTCACCCATGGGTGTGCCAGACAGAGCTAGAGTTGTTTCTGTTTTTAGAGGACTGTCATTCGGTTGGACGCCAACATGATTATCTCTAGATTTCGCATCAGTAGAACCATCATCCAATTTTGCATCAACAGGACTGTCATCAGACTTCACATCAGCATCTATTTTGGTATGTGTCACATCAACATTGTCGTGTTTTTCGGAGGAAGCATCCACTACATCTTTCGAAGTTGGATTTGAAGACTTGGTCCCAGAGCCAACCTCAGAGTCATCCTTGCCTGAGACAGGTGTCATTCTCTCAGAATCCAAGGGTAAAATCTCAAACGGTGGCTCTGAATCAAGTGATTCCATGAATTCATCCAGGGAGACAATTGGAGGAAGAAATTCCACATACTTAAATCCATCATCGACAATGAGCCCATGCATTAAATCAGATTCTTCATTTGGATGAAGCATAAGGGGGCATGAAGTCCTATGGCCTTCTAGATTACTATTCTCACCCTGAGCATTTACTTTGTCTTTCTTTACGACAGGTTTTGAATTAGGGATTTCCATCTCTTTATTTTTTGGCTCACTGTGAGCAAGTGAACTTGAACCACCAGAAATATCCACAGGATTGCTATCATCTTGTTCAACCTCAACATGAAACTCACCCTTGTGCGTTTTTTTCACCAAACGTCTAATATCAACATCCGAATCTGGCAAAACTACCATCTGAGCAAGCTCTTCTGCCTTTGCCATCCGCCATTGAGAAAGCTCCTTGGAAGCAAGGTCCTCTGCAGTCATGGAACAAAGTCGTTCAGGTGAAATTTCACCTGCCATAACTCGCTCTATCAACTCTGGATTATTGCGGTCTTTTAAGTTGAACAGAAGAGACCTCCCCTTCTCTTTGTACTTCTTATTCACACCCCCAAACAATTTGAATAATTCTAATTCAATTTCAAACGCCAAATTTTGTGGAGATTGATATGCTTGTTCCACCCTATCTCCACCCACTTCTTCATGATCCGACTTTGGTTCTCCAGCATTTTGACTTTCCTTTTTCTCAGCCATATCTAAGTCAGGATCCAATACCCAAGATAGCCCATTTCCCTGCAAAAGCTCATCTTTAACAAAGAAGTTCTCACTGAATGGCACATCTTCATATGACAAAACATTACTTGAATGAAATTCTCTGCCATCACACATTGAGGACAGTGTTGAGCCACCAGTTCTTGCATCACCCAAAATCTTTCGAGATTCACCTTCCCCACCGTGATTTTCCTGAGTAGAAAAATTTCTAGCAAAATTGTTAGATACTTTAGCTGCGCGGTCAACAGCATCAGCTGCAATTGATCCAGCAGGTTCATTATTCTCCTCAGTTCCTGAGCAGTTTACAGCTTGACCAGGATTTTGCATATCTGAAGGTTTATTTTCTTGCTGAGTAACCAAAGAAAATGCAGCAGTTAACTGTTCCCTCATCTTGGACCTCACAGATTCAGATGATTCTGATGAAGCCTTAGCGGGTGGTTGTACTCTTGCAGTCTGATTTTTTTGACTTGACATCCGCTGTGAACCAGATTTATTAGAAAAGGAATCTGCCTTTACCATTTTCTTATTAGGCGTTGGGGAATTTTGTGAACCAGGAGAATTTAGCATAGATTCCAACTGCACGTTTCTCTTATTTGGTGCAGACATTTGCTGCAACCATGGTCTATGTTGCATTTCTGCTACCCGCTTTTGTAGCATTGACATATTTTCATGGTTCTGTGAAATAGGTTCCATAGGTGTCTTGCGCTTAAATGGTGCCGACATTTGCTCCACATTGTTTAGCATGGATCCAATCTGTCCTATTTGAGTCTGGGACATCAAGAACTGCTGTGGTTGCAAGCTATCATTACCCTTGCCTTCCATCTGCCCCATTTGCATCTCTGAAGATGGAAATCCTTGCGATAAGCGATTATCAGAGATTAGTGACGTTTGATTGTTTGGTGCAGGAAACTGCTGCGATACAGGATGGCCAGATATATATCCTACAGAACCAACCACTCCCATTTGCATTTCTGATATTGATGAGTCCATCTTGTTCAAAAGGGGTTCCAGCTGACCAATTCGCGTGCTTGGTATTTATTGGCAACTGTTGCGAGGCAAGGTTGCTCGACATGCAAAACTAGCCAAACAGAAACATCACCTCTGCGATTAGGAAAAAAAAAAATCTCTTAGCATGATCTCTTCTGGAACTCTTTCCTAAAAATTCTCTTTTTTCTTATAATAAAAGAAAGTGAAAACCATGGAATGGAAGTATGGAACACAAGAGCAGCGGCGGAGCCAAATGGTCGTGAGTGGGGGCAAGTGCCCACTCAAGTTTCAGAATTTTATTTTAATCCTAAAGTTTACCAATTTTAGCTATGCTCTCATTTTATATGAACAATTATAACTACACCCCTACTCATAATTAAAATATATAACTACGTCTCCGTTAATAAGAAAAGTGAAACCATAGAGTCCACCTTGTCCTTCACGTCTATTACTTTTATTACGGTAGAGAAAATTCCCCTCGTATTTTTCATTAAAACATACTCAATCGTGAGAAAAAAGAATTATTAAAACGCATAATCTATCTTTCTCCCTCTAAAAACAGCAATTATAGGATCATGTTCAAACAAAGAAAATAAATTGATAAAAGGACTGAGATCTCCGAAAACAAAAACTTGAAATTTCATGAATCTTAATCCAAAAACCCTAATTTCAGAAATACCACACCAGAAACAGCTCAAGGAGATAATTATACATATATCCAATTCATATGACAGCGACAGGAGAGCGAAAACATAAACCCTAGACAAAAGTAGGAAAATTCAATAGAAGCAAGAATACTTACGCACAGAAAATCAGCACGAGCTAGGGCTTCACAACGAATAAGGCGGTCGTGAAGAGTTATCGATTCGCGGGAGCTTATCCAGGCAGAGTCGAGGAAGGAAGATAAAAAGTCGGCCACAGAGGCGGGCTAGGGTTTGGCTCTGAAAGCTTCGTCTGGTTTAGAGAGAGAGAGAGAAATTAGAGATAGAGAAGCCTAGAAGCCTAATCTGAATATGACTACTATAATAATAAGTATATATATACGAGGCGGTTTTCTGTATGAGAACTGGAGAGCGATTCTAGAGAACCGATTGCTACACACGTGTTTAACCCTTTTGCATAATCAACTCACCGCCAAAATGTTTTTAAAACATTCAGCCCGATCTTAAAGCCCAAACAGCTTAAAATATTTTTAAAAAAATTTAAAATAAGGGTGTTCGGGTCTTCTCGGTCCGGTCCAAATAAAGTTTTAGGGCTTACTCGTTTAGAATTTAATTTAAATATAATTCTTGAGTTGAATTTAAATTATAACTTGAGTTGAACTTACAATTTGAATTTGTATTTGGTTATGTACATTTAAGTTATGGTTTGGGATAAAAATCTTTTTGAGTTTGTATTTGAGTGAGTCAAAACTTAAATTTGTATTTAGATAGTATTTTAATAAAAACTCAACGCTGATAAAAAATTTTAATAGGGTATATGGGTCGGGTTTTATTCGTCTTTTCGTTGTCAACGCATAGAAAAAAAAATCATCTCAATCAGAATTAAAATGAAAAAAGTTATTAACATTTTTAAGCATAGAAAAAATATTATTTATTAATTTGAGTTTGAGTTTCTGAACTCGAGTTGAAGGAGAAACTTGAATTCGAGTTTTAGTCCTAAACTCGAGTTTGAACTCGAGTTTAAACTCGAGTTTAAACTTAAAAGAATATGAACTCAAATAAAGTTGTAATTCGAATTGCCTTTTTTCCATCCACCATTCTCTGTGAACAAGTTTGTTCAACTCTCTTTTTTTTTCTTTTTTTGTTTTTACTTTTTCTAATTCTTTTTTTTTTTTATCTTTTTTTCCCTACTAGTAGAACTCCACGCACAGAGAGTAATTTATATGTTAAGTTGTAATCATCATGTTATTACTAAAAGTATATAAAATATGAATATAAAATCTCAAAGGGGACCAAAATGAAAAAAAAAAAAAAAAGAGTGTTAGTGCAAGAAGTAAAAAAAAAAAAAGTAGTAAAAAAAGGATTAAAATGAAAAAAATAAATAAGTTTTAGAACAAAAGAAACTAAAACGAAAAAATAAAGTATCATACAAAATTAAAATATATATATAAAAAAGGACCAAAATGAAAGAATAAATAAGTTAGGGCAAAAGAAATCAAAATGAAAAAATAAAATTTAGGACAAAAATAAAAAAGGGGCTAAAATGAGAAAATGTATAATTTTTAGGATAAGAAAGAAAAAAAAAGACAGTTCATTGTACCAAAGGGTCGGGTTTGTTCTTCTTTCTGCTATGCTAGCCTACCCAACTCATATTTCTCTCCGTGCATGCTTAGGTCGAACGATCTGTATTTGCAACACTAACATAAGGGTGTCACTATAATTTTCTTAGAAAATGAGCAACCTAAAATTGGAGATAAATATTTTGAGAAAAGTACTTAGTTTGTATGGCGGTTATTTATGTCATTTTAAATAGTTGGATATCGTTGTGACATTTTATTTTTTTTATTAATTGGATGCTAATTATTTATTTTTAAATGGAATGGTATAAAAAATATTTTTAATCATCTTAAGTAGTATTTTTGACTTTTTTTCTTGTAAATTTTAGGGAAATTCGGTCGATGGCCGTTAGCCCACAAAGAATTTTAGGCCACGGTCTTTTTGTTTAGGCAAATGATCGCTACTCACTATACTCATTTGCTTTTGTGACTTTCTAACTTTCTATCTTCTTCTTCTTCTCTCAAATATGGATCTTCTGGATCTTGAGAAACATAGCACGAGAGAGAGAAAGTAGCGTGCTTGACTTATCAGAAATGCTGAGAGAGAGAAACTATTATTCGTTCAAGAGAGAAACTGTTAGCGTGTTGGAAGGAGTTTTAAGGGTTTTCCATCATTTTCAATTCCATACATATTACAGCTCGGCAATTTACTTAGTTTCATAAAAAGAGAATATATATTCAAAAAGTCATGTGAAAAAATGAAGTGCCTGTTTGGAATCATTTCTAAAAATATTTTTCAAGAACTAAAAACTGAAAATGCACTCACAAATGCGTTTAACACCGCATTTCTTGAAAAACAAAAACTGAAAACGTCTTTTACTTATTCCTAAAAAGTCAGCAAAACTGAAAATGATTAAGCATCATTTTCAGTTTCCCATTTTCATTTTCTCTGCCCACACCCCTGCCCTTTTCCAACTGTCGACTGCACCCTCTTCTCCGATCTCCCTCGACCCCCCCTTTCCTCCGATTTCCCATTTTCATTTTTCCCCTCCTCGACCTCGCTGCCCCTAACCACCCCCCTCCTCATCCGACTCCGCCGCCACCCCTTCCTCCACCTCACCAGAGTCAGAACCCTGGACGATGACTTCTTCTCTGGCGAAATTATTCCTCCGACGCATTTTCAGAAATGATTCCAAAATGAAAATGAAAACGTTTTCGTTTTTATTTTCATACAGAAAACAAAATCATTTTGAAATGAATTCTAAATGCACCCGAAATTTTGCCATTATTCCTAAATTTTAAGAGCATGTTTATGATAGGATGAGTCAAAATTTCTTACCGGAAAGGTATTTTAATCACAACTTTTATATGGCTAAAAAGTAAAAGGGCATACCAAATTATAATAATGCCTTCCACATGTAATTTTTGTACATGTTGACTTTGCATCAAAAGGAAAGAGAAAGTGAGCAATGATTCTATTTCTCATCTAATAATGTGTTTACTTATATCTCTAAGAGAGCTCTCTAAATTTTAATTAAAATAGCTTTTTAGCCATTTTATTAAACTATACTATCTATTTTGACTAAATAAATATTATTTTAATATTTATTGAATTTAAAATATAAATAATTTTATTATATTTAAAAAATCATCTTTGCATTTATTACAGCTAAAAGAATAAAATAATACAAAAAAATAAAATAGCTAGCTACTTCATGCTAGTTATATTTAGTTAATGTGGAATGCATTCTCTAAAATAGCAAATCATATAGCTAATGGTTCGAATGGAGAAAAGCTATAAAAAAAACTAAATTGTTAGTCATTTTAGCTAAAAACATAAAATAGTTAGCATGGTTGGAGTTGTTCTGTCACGCCCCAGGGCAAGGGTCGGTGATGTGGAGCTCGATCAGGGGTTAAACACGATTAAGAATAAAATATTAAGGAAATTTCCAAAACGAGCCCCACTCTTGTGCAGAAAATAAATTACAAGAACGTCTCAAGAGGCTAAAACTCCTGCCTCTAATACTGTTTAGGGCTACACCCACAGGGTCTTTCAGTATCGTACATACATGACACGTAAATAATATTACATTACAGACATCAACCACAGTCTAGAAATCCAAATATCAGAGTTTACAGAATTTACAAATTCTTACACAGGGAGGATGACCACAATCCTCTCCAAATCAGGTGGTAGCAATCTAGCTCAGCTACTCCGCACCGCTTCTAGAATTTCCTAGGAGGGGTTTAATATTTATTAAACAAAAAAAACGTGAGCGCAAGGCCCAGTAGGATATAATTTGAAATAATTTATAAATAAATGAATAAATAAAAGGGCGAGTAAATAAGTAAATGAATAAGTAAATAAAATATGACATTCAGTCCTAATACAACAGCCGGAACCTCACATCCTTTTTCTCAAAGGAAATATATATGAAAATATCTGTATTACAGGCATCAGCAAGTAATTTATACTATGATAAATTACATACACAACCACGTGCACAAGCCATATCACCCCCGGGCCGGGTTTCGGGTTCTGCCCCCAAGGATGCACTCTCCACATCCTATCTTGGCCATCAGCCGGTTTACCAATTCGCAAGATGTTTTATCTTAAGAAATCATTCATTAAACTTTATGAAATCGTTCATTATAATCTCATGAACTACAACAAGCCATGAATCCCATGAACTACAACAAGCCATGGTCCCATGTACTACAACAAGCCATGGGTACCATGAATTACAACAAACCATGGGGAATAAGTAAATAAAATATGACATTCAGTCCTAATACAACAGCCGGAACCTCACATCCTTTTTCTCAAAGGAAATATATATGAAAATATCTGTATTACAGGCATCAGCAAGTAATTTATACTATGATAAATTACATACACAACCACGTGCACAAGCCATATCACCCCCGGGCCGGGTTTCGGGTTCTGCCCCCAAGGATGCACTCTCCACATCCTATCTTGGCCATCAGCCGGTTTACCAATTCGCAAGATGTTTTATCTTAAGAAATCATTCATTAAACTTTATGAAATCGTTCATTATAATCTCATGAACTACAACAAGCCATGAATCCCATGAACTACAACAAGCCATGGTCCCATGTACTACAACAAGCCATGGGTACCATGAATTACAACAAACCATGGGTTTTAAATACTTTTCTTTCGCAAACAAGCCCCTTTCTTTAAAACATTTGGAAGACCAAAACTCTTTTTGAAAACAGGCTCACAAAGAAAAAGGGTAAGAAATCATACCTCGTAAATACCAAACCTGTGGCTAGCGGTGCACTATTCCGGCTTCCGCTTCCTCAAGCCACTCTATCCGAGTCCTCAGCTAGCACTGATACAAGACAACACTTTAGGATTCAATTCTCATTCCTAAAGTAATTCAATCTCAATTATATCCTTTTGATTTCCTATTAGTGTGTCATAATTCAATTACCGGCTCCACAAACCATTTCATGTTTCAAATCATCATTCCAAGGCTTTTCAATCTCAAAACATGGATTAAAGATGCTAATCCATCTACTCTAGGTCCTCAAATGAAGCTAATTTGGGTCCTACTCGAAAACTGAGGTCAAAACAACATTTTTCAGGCAAAACATGGTCAAACTCTGTGTACACCGGTTGACCGGTGACAGCGCAATGCAACACCAATGGTCAACCGGTGGTGTGCAATCTGGTCGACCGGACAGGTCGACTGGTGAGGCCAATGCAATCCGGTCGACCGCACAGGTCGACCGGTGAAGAACAGCAGTGCGAGAAAACTCACAAAATCAGTTTGCAAACCTACAAATCCAGTCCCAAATTAAAATATCTCAAGGGACAACACCTGAATCCGGGTTTTAGGTACTAAATCAAGTCTAAAGAACCCGAGATCTCCAATTTCTACCATGTTTTTACTCAAAATCCATCGAAATCCGTTTTGAACCAAAATAGGTTTTCAAATATGAAAAATCCGAGATTCAAGAGAGGTTTTTCAGAAATCTTACCTCAAATCCTTCTCTTGACGTTGAAAACTTCTTTAAATCTTTCCTTGGTTCAAGATCCGGTTGCTTTGAGACAAAAACAGGAGAAAGAGACAACCGAGAGAGAGATAGAGAGTGAGAGAGTGCTTGGGAAGGAAAGGAAAGGAAGGAAAAAGAAAGAAAAAGAAAAAGAAAGAAAAGAAAAATGGACAGGTGTCAAACATTTAAAATAACAGTCCATAAATGTGTCCATACACACTTCTAGGTAAAAATGTAAATATTGAGAATATTTAAATACCTTGAAATTATTTAAATTTACACGTTAGAAACATTTATTAATTAATAACTAATTAATTAATTCAGATTAGGCACACTAATAAATTTCAATTACCTTAATTAATCTTATTTTATTTTTCGGGGCGTTATATGCTCTTGTGAAATAAGTAATAGAGATTTAGTGAGTCCCACATAATATAAGAAATGAGGAAAAGGAATGTCAATCCTTACACCACCGTTAGTATTGATTTCTTGTCAAAGAGAATGAGTGCTAAATTTACTTATCCACCCTTAATGAATTATTGTATAGTCAATAATTAGTTAATTGTGTAAAAGAACATTTTGGTGATAACAATTATAACATTGTTATTCTTAATTTTAGTAACATGAGAAAGGGAATGGATTTGTTTCCTATTACTTCATCTAATGGTCAAGTAAACACTTAAAAGGAAATGAATGACTATTAACCTATTACGTTACATTCCTTTCCAATCTCATTACTTTTCCCATTAAATTATTTATTCTAAAAAAAAGGTGAAAAAAACCTAGGGCCTTGTTCAGTTCACGATTTGAGTTTTTAATTTCAGTTTTGCTATAGCTAAAAGCTCTCACAAAAATTCATATCTAACTTTTCTATAACAGTTAAAAGCTCTCACATAAAGTCACATTTTAGGTCGAATTGAAAACTCGAATATTCCAATCCGTAAAATATCCAATATGCAAAATCTAAAAAGGTTTTGGATCAGACACAGATTGAGATTTTTCCAATTTGAAAGTTTTGGATCGGACACGGATTGAGATTTTCTCAATTCAAAAGTTTTGGATCGGACACGGATTGACCTCTAATCTGTGAATTTTAATCCATGAACACCCATAATTATCATTATCATTGTTTGTTGATGACGTCATATTAAATGTTTAAAGGATAGATTCTCTGTTGCAATAGACAGCTTTTACTTATATTTCAATTGGACCCACGACAAATCGCACCGCAAACAATCGTCTGATCTCACCCTACCGGTAGGGGATTTTAGCTCACCCTACCGTAAACATTCCCAAATTTTAATATTAAAAGTCAATATGTTAAAACTTGGGTTAGGCAGTGGCCCCACTTACTACCATGTGACTCTACCCCTACTCATGTGCTTTAATATAATATAACTAGGTTTATATCTTTATCTTTACATACATAAAAGAGTCAAAAGAGGTTTTCTCTCCTTTAACCATGTGTCAATCTCTCCTTTTTCTTTCATATTTTGTTTTTTGTGTTTCACATTTTGTAATTCTTTATAATTTTTTCTTTCTTTTCTTTTCTTTTTTCACTTAAAGTTCCTATATAATTTATTGTTTTGGTAGCCTCTACAGTGAGACTCCTAAAAAAACTCACCAGTGTAACACTCTGTTTTGATCGTTTTGAATTAAGTTATTGATAATCAAATATGCACAGGTCCGTATTAAAAATTTACAGAGCGCCGCACAGAACTGCTACCTCTGCAGATCTGACCGTTGAAAAAATAATCTAACAGTCAAAACAAAATGTTCCACTGGTGGTTTTTTAGGAGCTCTCACCGTAGAGAAACCCTTATTTTTTGTAATGTGCATTTTTAAAATACTTTTTTTTTTGTCGACACAATTTCTTTCCAATATATCCTTAAGTTTTTGTTTTGTTTTCATTTTTGCCAACGGCTCATGTACATCGTAATTATTTTCGATGTGTTTTTTTGAAATAGTTTTTTCTTTTCCTCTCATGCTCCTTTTAAATAATTTGTCACAAATGAGTTTTATATCCAAAGTGATCCTTATAAATATTTTTTTCTAATTGACTCACTAAAACAATTTTTTCTCAAATATGTCGTTTTTAAACAATTTTTTTTTTGGCACAACACTTGTAACTATTGATTTTATGATAAATACATATTTTCTAATTTGTCATTATTGAGGTAATTTTTAAAAGAAACTCAAAAGCACTTAATTCTGTATAAATAAATTTTCCATTATGTAGTAAATAATAAACTACTTAGATAATCTCAACACGATAATAAATGTGGAGCACGTTCTCAAACTAATTATTAAATAAATATCAAAATTATTGTGTTCTTTTATACAGAAAGAAGGTAATCTTTTTAACTTAAATTTGATGGATTTGTTGGATCCTTCTACTCATAAAAAAAAAGAATAAGAAAATTGTTGAACTAACTTTTAGAGTGCATGGGCCTAAAGTTTTACCCGTTATACTTGATTAATACTTTTTTGACTAATATAGCCTATATTTATTTCACTAATTTTGTTCAGTTCAACTCAGTTTGAATAGTGAGCACAGTTTAAACTGGTGTTTGGTAAGCATGCAGTTTGAATTATATTCTCCGTTTAAACTGAATTAAACAGCATAACTTAGAGTTTAACTCCCCCTCAAGTTCAATCGTTCAAACTATTTTTGAACAGTAAAGTGTTCACTCTGTTTTTCACACCTACCAAACACAAATTCGAATTGTATTCCCTGTTCAAATTAAATTTTAACTACACATCCAAACGTCAATTCAAACTACAATTTAAACCACATAGTTTGAATTTTTCTGTTCAAATAAAAAAGTTCAAACCAACAAAATTCAAACTAACGAACCAAATGAAGGCATAGTTATTTAACTAAAAATAATATTAATAAAAAATAAATGATAAAACTCAAACTTATGCACTCTAAGAATTATTTTATCTCTTTTTCCCTAAAAGAATTTAAATTAATTAGTCCAAATAAAGACTCTCTTCTTCCACCTATCCTACCCTCCCTTTTCTCCCTCCAACTAAACAACTGGCCCTCCACCTCTCTTCCTCCAAAAAAACACACATTTTGTCACTTGTAAAGTTTGTCGTTGATTTTATTTGACAAATGATGAGTTGCTTTACTTTAAAATTTGAAAATCTTGTGGCAGGAAAAAAGGGGAAAAAAGAAAACATTATTGTGTCAACTTGGGTTTGTTTGGTAAGTGGGTTCAAATTGAACCTTTAGAGTTTGAACATGATGTGAGGTTGTGTGGAGTTTAAATCTGAGTTAAAATCCTGAAAACTCAAGGGAAACTTTAGGTTTTGAAATCCTTTTATTTTTTAAAAACCCCAGAATTTAAACGTACATCAAGAGTTCAAACTCCTTTTTATTTTTTATAAAATAAACACAAATTTAAACCCAAATTTGAGTTCAAACCCTTCAACCCTCTAACCAAATAACTCCTAAATCACTCGATTACATTTCAAAATAAAACTAAAAAGAAAAAGAAAAGGTTTGAGGATTTAACCATCCAAAAACTAATAACATATAATTTTATACCTAATTCTTTATAAAAAGGGCAATTCTTAAGAATACCCTTTAAAATGAAGCTCCTTTTTTATCTTTTTTATTTTATAATAAATAGATTTTATTTTAAAATGTTTGCATTACGGATTAATAATGTACAGTTAGAAACAAAGATAAAATTCTTTTTTTTTTTCAAAAAAAAAAGAAGATAACAACTGAAATAAGCATATTTCCTTAAAGTTCCATCCAACTCAAAAAAAAAAAAAAAAATGATCTATCAATCAAGCGTCGTTGTAACAAAAAAACTTAAACAAGTTTACATATGATTCGTGAAAGACACAAATTGCTATGAAGCCAACTTGACTGAAGATCTCAATAGCCCCTGCTTTTGGGTTTACTCTATTCATTCGTTGAGCGAGAGAGCTTTGGGGGCAGAGAATTCACAGTAAAAAAGCACCAATGAAACCAATATAATGAAGGAAGAGTAAACACAGATGCTGAAAAAAAAAAAAAAAAAAAAAAAAAAAAAAAAAAAAAAAAAAAAAAAAAAAGAAGAACAAACGAATAATTTCAGAAGGAAAAAAAAAAAACAAAAAATGAATGGGTACAAAAAGCACAAACGCAACAAAACCCATATATATAAGCAAAACGAAAAAAAGGTATCATCGTTTATTAAAGGATGTTATTTTCGTATTAAATGGCTTAAGAAATGAATTTAAAATGGGTAAAAAAAGTGTCAACATAGACTTAAATTAAAGGAATGGCAGTCTTATAAATATGATTAGCAAAAGGTGACTTGTTGTTAAGTGTGTTTCTTTGAAAAAATTAAAGTGACAAGTGGCAAACAAAAGACTAGACTGGCATCTGAAGTGAAGTCTGTAATCTGTATTTAGCTGTAATTCTCACTTATAAAAATTGAGTTGTACCTTTTTCTAATTAGGTGACATGTTCTTCATGGCAAAGAATATATTAATATCAAGCCAATTGTCCACTGCATTATATGTACATGTATTATAGAGGAGAGAATGAGAACAGAGGGATACATTAAAACAAGAAGCCATCTATGACGACTCCAATGAGCAAATCTAGGAGCATCTTCATTTGTGTCGTAAATACATAATTGATTTCAAGTGACACTGCCGACAGAAGAGAGCTATACATTTGCCCGTGACACCACCAAAGGCAATTCCCTGCTTACCTACCTAACTATAGCCTCACCCCAAGTGGGGGGAAAAAAGGGGTGAAGAAAAGAAAAGAAATCCACTCGGCGCAATCAGCCATCCATGTTAAAATTGTTTCTTGCATTGAGATTAGCTAATTTAGTCGTCTTATTGAGATATGGTACTTGCCAAAGTCCAAACCATTGCTTTCCCTAGTAATCATCATTTTGGTGACTGCCATTTGCCCCTGCGAGTGAGCTCAATGGGCTCGCACCTACCTCGCTTTTACAAAGAGGGCATGACGCATTGATCTTTAACCACTTATCCACGCACTCCTTGTGGAAAAAATGAGAACAGGGCAGTTCCCTTAGCTCATCGTTGTTGGCATACTTTGCCAAGCAGATGCAGCAAACCTACAGAAAGTAAGCAAAAATATATGCCTTGTAAAACTAGTCAACAGCAAAACTGAACTGAAAGGATATTAAAAAAAAAAAAAAAAAAAGAGAGATTGAAACCCCTTTCGTTGACTGTAACTGAAGCCCCCTATATTATTTTCATAATGGAAGTTCGTTATCAATGTTGAGCTTTTCGTGCATTATTTAATGAATTGGAAAAATTCGTATACCTATATTAAGTTTTGTAACATGCTAAATTCACTACGTGGTATACTTACCGCATCTTCCCCAGAAATCACACGCTCTTTATCAGTTCCTGCAGCAATAATTCCCCCTTCAGAGGCACCATCTCTATCATCTCCGTTTCTATTTTTCTTCAACTTGAACTTATATGTCGGCAGAGCATCAATTGATTCAGAAGTGGCCCCTCGGTTCTGTGTCAAATCCTCTCTAAACCCAAGCGCGGATATTATACAAGGAAGACAGCAGCATATTGTTGCACATAGAATAAAAGGCATGGCATATCCAATACAACTAAAGGTGAGAAATACTATACATAACCTGCAAAGTGAAAAGAAAATTGCAATGAGCCCAGATTCCCACAACTTCCAGAAAGGTCAGATGTAATGAATGCTTAGAGCAATACCTATACAAATTAGGAGCCTCATTCGCAGATGAATGTCCTCCAAAGATCCAAACGTTGCCAACCACAAACCAAATCGCAAAGAAGCAATCCAACGCCATTTTGAAGTATTCCACAAGTGCTTTGAGTCTGATGAAAAGAAAGCAAATTACATCAGACAAGTCATCAGCTAACATTGGTCAAGTGGATTTAACTAAAATAGATATGTATGCTTTCGCATATCGATAAAAGGAGAGCAGCATTGGATTTAGGGCATTGTCAAATTGGTTTACCAAAGAAGGGAAAGAGTATAAATTCTCCAACTCCTTTGTGCCAAATACCAACACTCATAACACCACACTACTTGTCTAAAAAATTAGAGGTCCCCAGTAGACTACAGGTTAAGAAATTTTGATATACTATAAAGATGGCGTGGACCTGCATTATGTTGAACAAAAATGTATCGCGAAGACCTCCTATAATTCAAAATAATGATACACCTAGCCTGCATTAGCTCTCTATTCAACAGCAATTTCCTATAAGCGCGAATAGAAACAAAGGGCAAGTGCATATAATCACGAGAACAACAAGAATTCCACATGAAATATTTCAAAATTTCCCACCAAGTTAACTCTCTCCAGTCTCAAAAGAACAAAATATAGTTCAAGTTTCACTGCTGATAAGTTAGCCATAGATTGTCAAATAATACAGAATCTGGTGAAGATCTATAAGAATAATAATTACAACACAAAACAATCATATCAACAAAAAAGGGAAAATACATGAAAATAAGAACAGTAACCATGCGACACTTTGTTGAATCCCAGTATCCCAAAGACAAAACAAACAAACTCATACCTTGCATTCATTATTTCAGAGCCTTGGCGGCTTCTATGAGATGAAGCACCACTCTGACGATCTTCCCCTTCAGGCATCCTACTAACTGAAAGAGAAAAGGGCACTGCAGGAACATTAATCTGAGAAGTCTGACGAGGTTGAGCAGAATCTTGCTCTGAAAGCTGGTTATGATGACGGTAACGCCAATAAAGAAGAGGAAGAGTGGCAACACATCCAGATGCATAGCCCACAATCCACGCAAATAATGGTGTTCGTGGATGCTCATGCCTTGACAAGGACAAAACAACAATAGATGCAACAATTTGACCAATTGTGAGAACTAGTTCGATGGATATCCATAATCCTGAATTCAATGGACTACGGCGGTGGCGAGTATCCCCTCTCCTTGCGAACGAGGAGTTCCTAGTGTTTGATCCATTAGAGGAGGAAATCGGAGGAAGAGTCGTGGGTACTATGGCACTGCTCGAAGATCTCTCTAGCTGTGATGTATTTAAGCTGATTGAAGGTCTACTATGTGTATGAGATGAGCTAGATGCGAACCCATCACTACTCCCAGCTATGTCGATAACGTGCTCACTGCCGTTACTACTTTCTAGCCGCTCCATTAACAAAGGGAAAGTATCGGTTAAACTTTCAAGGTGAATCCCCGGTGCAGCAACGTCCATCTAACTCCACCAACGCAATTGGGAATAAAGAAAGCATTCATAGAACTGTAGCACAAAAATAAAAGTTTTCCTTCCCTTCTCTAAAATGTGGTACACAACATTTTACTCTTGACAAAAAGGCTCGCTGAGTTGCACTGCTTGACATAAATTACGTACCACTGCGAGACGTCAAGAACTTCGAACAAAATCTGTTCTGGTTAGAAGCAAAAATATCATTATTCAGATTGATACAACAACACAAGAATAATAAAACAAACAAAAAGAAAGACAAACTAGCCCTTTATTGAGAAAGAAAAACAATTGAAAGCCCTAGTGTTCATTCTTTTGACCCACCAATAACAGATTCAATAATGATTTCGCCTAAAAAGGTCGACTACACGAGCTACGACATAAAACATGTTTAAATTCCACCCAAAAATCAGTTTTCTCCTCTTTTTCCCGGATTTTCCCAGCAACCAAACGACTTTACACACGAATTAATTCCATAATGAAAACATCGAATTCCCCAATTCTAAGCAATGACCTCAGCTGTATCAACGAAATTACCAAAAACCCTAAAATTCAAGAGTTGACTAAAAACCTTCTAAGAATTATCCAACAACCCTCAAAGAACCATCAGTTCAACAAAAGCACGAAAAACCCGCCCCAAAGATTCGGATGTTCCTCGACCCCCAAAATTCCCCATCCAATTTATCAAAAAAATTAAACAAAAATTAAAAAAAATCACCATTTCCAATATCTCCAAAAAAAAAAAAAAAGTCCGTTTCAAAAATAAACAGAGCGAAGAAAATACCAGATAGGGTTTTGATCAACCGGAACCTCCATTGAAAGGCGAATTGGGCCTTGGGAGTGATCGAAACGGCGTCGTTGCGAAATTTCACTGATTCTGGTAATGAGATTGAGAAACACTAGAGACCAAGATTGGAGATTGAACCAAGAGAAAGAAGAGTCATGAGATGACGTCAGCTTTCTTTGATTTTGATTTTGAAATTTTTTTAAAAAAATATTTCTAAATCGGCCTGTTACCGTATCTCCGGTTGCTTGGCCGCGTGGCCTGAGAATATATATATATATATAAGAAGATAAAGAGAGTTTCTTTCCGTTTTTTAATTGTGCTTCCTGGCTGCGACTGCATCCAAATTCCAAAGTTCCACTTGAGAGATAAAAGGTCGATTCTACCCCCTCCCCCACTCCTCATTGAAGTTCTCGAAGAACTAAATATCATTTCGGGTTTGTCGTCGATCGTCATTCTCTAGTAAATTGACAAAAAGTTGTTTAACCGCGTCCAACACAACTTGTCTAGGAATGCTCTGACCTCACTCGTTTTTTCTTTTTAGAGGGGCTGTTTGGTAAATTTAGTAGATGACTTTTTTTTTCTTAAAAAAATTTGCCTATTTAATTCACTGATTCGAGTTAAGATATGACTTTATGTGAAAATTTTTTATTATAATAAAAAAATTAAATGTGACCGTTTCTGAAAACTTTTTACTGTAACAAAACTCAAATTCTAAACTCGAATCGGCTAAATAAACGATACCTTAGCTAGATGATTATTCAAGCTCTATTCCTACTTGTGTAGTTTTGAACCTTTTGGATTTAAAATAAAAAATTCTAAAATTTAAGGTTATTCTTTTACATTTTTGAGTTAGGGTGACTTGAGTGATAATTTTGAGTTGAATTTGAGTTATAATTTGAGTTAAAGTTGTAGCTTGAGTTTGTGTTTAGATGTGCACATTTGAGTTATGATTTAAATTGAGAATCTTTTTGAGTTTGTGTTTAAGTGGATCAAAACTTAAATTTGCATTTAGATAATATTTTAATAAAAACTCAATGATGATGAAAAATTTTAATAAAGTATATGGGTGGGGTTTAATTCGTCTTTTCATTGTGAATGCATAGAAAAAAAATCATCTCAATCAGAATTAAAACGAAAAAATTATAGCATTTTTAAGAATAGAAAAAATATTGTTCATTAATTTGAGTTCGAGTTTATAACTTGAGTTAAAGGGAAAACTTGAACTCGAGTTTAGCCCCAAATTCGAGTTCAAACTCAAATTTTATAAAAGAATATAAACTTAAATAAAATTGTAACTCGAGTTCAAATTTTTTTTAAGTTTTGTTATAAAAGAACAACAATACTCTTAATCTGGTGTTTAGGTTTAAAGTCTGTAAAAGGAATATAAAGTTTAATGCCTCGTTCGTTTTATTTATTCGAATCACAACTTAAAATTTTTTACTATAATATTTTCTTTTACAAAAGTTTAAATTTAATTTTTTTTACTACAATATTTATCTCACATAAATTTAATTTTCACCTTGAAACTCGAACCAGTGAAGCGAAAAAGTTAGTGTTTGATTAATGTGAAAATTATGAGTATTAAGTTCTTCAAAATGGATTTTAAATTTATCTGAGATGGGTTCTAGACTCGCAACCTAGATTCTCAAAAATCAACCTATGAACTCAACTAATTTGTGTGTTCAACGGGGGTGTTACTTTTGCAATATGAGAATGAATAACTTTCACCCTCCAGTATTTTTGGGAAATATTTTTAATGTAAAATATCTTGTTAGTTATGTTTAGAGAAATACTAGCTTTATACGCATTGTGGCGGGGAATAGTTCTGTATCATACAAAGAATTGATAATTTTATAGTATAAAGTTAGATTATATATGTATTTGAATAATGTTGTTGTAAGAAGTTGAAAGAAAAAAAAAAAAAAAAAAAAGCGGGAAAGGAAAAAAAAGAACAAAAAATGTAGTGATATGTTTACGTAATGATTGTGGCTCAAATAGTAAATATTGTTAGCAATGTGTGGCAGATTATGTTATTTATATTTGTATGGCCATTTTATAGCTGCCAATTGATGGCAACTGTATAAAGATAAAAAAATTAATCAAATATTATCTATGCCACACAAATTATAATGGATATATGTCTAAAAATTATCAGGTGAATAAAAAAATAAAAAATAAAAAAAAAGGAGAAAAACAGCAACGTCAAAGGGACAATAAGGCTGGATAATAATTTACTTCAAAATAGGCAACCAATTGCACCTGCGTGACAATGCGCAATGGCAGTCCTTCGTACCGAAATAAAGCAGAAGAATCGGGTGTAGTAAAGGCATAAAATAACTAATTAACCATCAAATTCTACTTGATAAAAATGGTCGAAAAAATCGAATTTCACAACAAAAGGAAAAATAGAATATAAAATATTAAAACGCACAGGAAAATCTCTTATAAAGTAAAGGAAAAATGAGCAAAGGGAAAAATGGAAGTAGAAAGAAGAATATGAGGAACAGAAGGAATCCATTTAAAATTAAATAGTTAAAACAAAAATACGAAAAATCCAAATAAAAAAGTAAACGTTGGGAAAAACAGTAGAGAGCAAAACAATAATAGTTATGTTGTCTGTATACTGAAAATCATATTCGCAACAATATAAAAAGAATAGTATAAGAAAATTTGGTGAAAAGAAGTTGATGAGATCTAAGTTCAACTGGAATGAACGTGTAAAAAAGGATGAAAGGACCAGAAAAAAAAAAAAAAAAAAAAAAAAGGAGAAAAAAAGAGAGTAAAGATATGGAGCAAAAAAGGGGGAAAAAAACAAAGAGGAAAGGAAGTTTTAAACCATTTTATTCAAGGAAGATGGATAGAGCGAAGATCTAAAAAAGAGGAGCTTATTCACAGTAATAAATAAGAGATATTGAGATACAGCCTAAAAGGCTAAGCAGTAAATAGGCCAAGATGAAATGGGACAATCCAAAAAGCCAAAAATGTTAGAGCAAATAAAGAGGAAAGGGGAAAAAAAAGAAGAAGAGATATTGAGATACATGCAGTCTAAAAATACAAATAAAATAAGAACACCTAACCAAAATCCAAGTATGGAAAGCTTATTCATAGCAATTTTTAGACAAATTCAATAAAAATGACGATGCCAAAACTGGTTATAATTACTATTGCCGCATACAAAAACCAAGTAAAGATAAAACATGTTGAACAAAAGATAATTGCACACAGATATATATAATTATGGGAGATTTTTTTCAGCAGGAAACTGATATATGATCACTATGTACTAATAAAAGTCAGAAAAGAATAACCATAACAATAGAAAAAGAATTCCCTCAACATCATAGTAAATAACACATAGTAATAGCAACTTGGGAAAATAATGTACCAAATATTAAGAAAATATAGGTAGAAGTTATTGGTAGTACCTGCACTGCTATGAACACCCCCTTAATCTGAGAATATAAGCTGACCAAATACTGGTCCAAAAAGAGATAGCCTAAGAAATTGAGCGGTAAACAGGAAAAGATAAAGCAAAACAGTCAAAAATAATGTTAGGGCAAGTAAAAGGGAGGGAAAAAAGGAAAAGACGTTTTAAAAATTATATTAAAAAACTACAAATAAATTCAGAATCCAAAAACAGGATCCATATGGCAAAAATACATTGACAGCAATTTTTAAAGAAATTACATGAGACAGAGCAAATGAAAATAATTTGTAGTAACCATTCAGCGTCAACAACAGATATTAAAACATTTGGGAGGAAGTTATTAATAGTACCTGAGAAATGTTGACAACAGAGCCTTAGACAACGAATGTCAGGCAACCAAACAGAATTGATGGAGACTGAACTAAAAGGTTGAGCAGTAAATAGGTGGAGATAAAATAGAGCAGTAAATGATCAACAATGCGGTGGGGAAGAGACAATAGCAGGTTTGGGAAAAAAAAAACAGAGAACAATTTAGACAACAAATTAATGGATATCAAGAGCATTATACATATATAAAGGGCAATAGCACATGTGGCAAGTGGAAGTCGGGCACGGAGAATAGAAGAAAATTTATTTTATTAAATGAAATAATAAAAGTAATATAGAGTTAAAATGAAGAAAGTAAGGAGGAAGGCAAAAAAAAAAAAAACCAAATAATAATAGAGAGGAAGAAAATGGATTAAAAACAGGAGGAAAAAAACATTGCTATACATTTTTTTTCTATTGTGGGTGGCAGATTTGTTAGATATTCCAGACGATAAAGGAAGAAAAAAATAATTAGCTCATTTAATGCTACGGGAACAAAAGGAATACAAATCATCAACGTAAAAGTACAAACTAATATCCTGAGCATTACACATCATCACCGCAAATTAGCAAAGTAAATTAATTTAGGCCTCGTTCGTTTCGATGATTCAAGTTTAGAATTTGAGTTGAAATATGATTGTATGTGAGAGCTTTTTACTGTAGTAAAAAAGTTAGATGTGATTGTTTGTGAGAGATTTTTACTGTAGCAAAACTCGAATTCTAATCTCAAATCAGCGAAACGAACGAGGCCAAGCCACAACAGAGGCATAAAATCAGCAAAGGAAATGAAAAATTCGGTACTCACCTATAGGAATCAACCACGCCAAAGATCAAATGCATGCACATAAATCTCCTTGCACGATGTTGAATGAGCTGCTGAAAAAAGAAAAGCAAACGAAGAAAATTCTAGAATGATCAGTGAGAGGAAAAGAATTCAAAAATATAAAATAATAATAGGCTTAAAGCACGAAAAAAAAAACTCTAATAAATCAACCCCAATAAAGAGCAAATTACCAACAACAAAACGACCATTTTCCACACAAAAAAACAAAAGAAGTGCATGAAACCCAAAAGTGCATATGAAATCCCAAATGAGAACAGCCGGAAAGCAAAGAAACAACGGCAATTAAAAAAAAAAAAAAGGAACCCATGAAGGGAGAAAAATAAATGGAGAACAAAATGAAAAAAAAAATAGAAAGGGAAAAAGGGGGAAAAACACATGAAATTCACGGCGGAAATCTCTACACGAAACAACAACAAAAAAGAGGAAAAAACACATCCAAAATCCCAAATGAGAATAACCAAAAGACGAAAAAAACTAGAAAAAAAGGCGAAAAGCACATAGAAATCTCAGGCGAAATCGCTAATCAAAGCAGCAAATTGTGATCGAGGACGAACAAAAGAAGTCTGGACCGAAACAATTGGAAAGATCAGAATGAAATAAGAAATAAGAAATAAGAGCTACCAAAAAACAACAA